TGCAAAGTCTAGCCTAGAGTCTAGCCCTGACGCTGTCCAAATGGTTTTCCTCTACATGGTGTCCACTGGGTGGAAGAATGGGCACAACCCGATGGTTCCCAAGGCTCCAGCTCGTGGTGGTAAAGGACCAAGCACAACAACCAGACCAAGTCACAACAACCAGGCTGTGGAGGGGTGCAGCCAATGTTCCCATACAAAGCATTCAGAACACGTGCTGGTCATGTATTCTACTCGATCGCCTCTCGGGCTCCCCATGTCGTGTTCACCGATCGCTTCCTGTTCTGACTTCGCTCACCACAAAGGGGCTGCAGGTCCTGTCATCTGCAGTGAACGTTCCCCCTCCTCGAACAAATGTTCATGACTTTTCGATCCAAATGCTTCAAAGGGGCTTGGCTTTCTTATTTGCCTCGAGTTGCGCCTTACTTCGCCTCAAAAACAAGAGCAATGAGACTCGGGCTGGGACATCAGGGGTTGGCCCTCTGTTTTCAGCCCAAAAACGTGACCTTGGCTGACTCCCTTTCCCTCGAAAACCAAGCTTCAGCTCTTTCCACGACTTGGTTTTAAAATTGGGGGGTTCCCCGCAGGGCTCGCAGCTGTAGCCCTTAAGAGCCGGTTGCCTGCGTGCCCCCATGCCTGGTAGCAGCTTGGGTGGCGTGTGGGCATAGACAAATGTTTTATATACCCCCAATCCTATACAAAGAATGGGCCAGGTGATCTCCTTTTCTCCCTAAGTTGTTTGGAGTCGTCCCATCGTCCGCGTCCCGGTGAAGCACCGGGAAGGAGCACACCTTTAGGGTGAAGCATTGCCAAGGGTGTTGACTACCTGCTGGGCAAGGGATCGATCTAAACGGCGATATGACGCAGTTGCATCACCAACGAGCAATCACCGAGGCATGTTGGGAAAGTGGCTCTTGGACGGAAGAGGGGTCATACGATGTCATAAGCCGTTGAGGCCAGTGAGTCCTCTCCGATGCGCCAACCTGCTAGTCGACACGACGGCTTCTGAGTCGATACGGTCCATTTTCTGCCCGCGCCTCGATGTGTCAGAGACGGGTCTTTTGGGGTGTGTATTAACATAGGGAGACCTCCCAGGCGACCCTCTGGAAGAAGGGAAATAGACCAATCTACCCGTTGGGCCCAGTGGTCTCCCTATGAAAAATGCACACCTTGGCATTGGGGATTCGGCTCGTGCCACTGAAGCATCCGGCATTTGGGGACTAAAGCTCAAAGCCGATGAATCGGCTCATGCTCCAAAACCGAGGAAACCAATGACTTGTCCTTTCCTCTATGGTATCAACACCTACCATCCCATTCTGTCAGGAACATCCAGGTATAGATGGCTCATCTCAACATACTTAATTCTTAGTGATTTGCCCATCAGCTTCTGTGGTTCGGTCGACTTGTCGACTGCCAGGACCGCAGTTCGCCTGTTCACAGCTCGACTCACCCGATGAACCCGTGCGCGAGTAACTCACCGTGATCAAAAACGCCTGCTGCGCGTCAGATTCTTTTGGGGATCCATGGGGTTCCTGCTTGCGTGCGGGTTCTCATCCCATCTGAGCTGCTTGGACGCCCTGGGATCGCGGATCCCCAAGCACGGCGAGAAGCATCTGACGCCAGGAGCGGCACGGCACTTGGTTCCCATGGTTTCAAACCATATACGCATTGCAAATCATCTGGAACAAACACCTCTCTTGTTCAGCCCTGACACCTGGAGCACAATTGTTTTGGATCTAACTGTGGATTTGAAGCGACCGCGCTGAGCACTGGGGTGAACAAAGCCAGCCCATTCTGCACAGCATCGAAACACCTTTGAAGTCCATGAATAGGGTCTGGTGCGACTGGGCAAGTGCTAAGACTAGCAGCAGAATACATCCCTATATATTTTGGGTCTATCCATGTCTATCCTATTGCCAGTAACCGTGAATGATGATTCATTAGTAAAGGCCTTGTTCAAAAATAAGTGCTAATTGTTTACTGACTGTTACAGGTGATAAACGGTAACAGGACAAACCCAACCTTCCTGTACTATTATATATGATATAGGCATGGCATGCCTTAGGAGAGCGATCAAAGAAACATCCCTCCCACACTTGCGGCGGCTTTCAGAAGCTGGAAAGGCTCTTTCAGGCTTGGAGAATTATGGGGTTGTTTCATGTTGTTTCAGGGATACCTTCTAAACGTCTCCTATATGCATGGAGCCCAGTGCTGGTGCAAATGCTTCTCTTCAAGGCCAAAAGCGGGGCCGACACGGTTGCGGATGCAAACCACAAGGTCGCGACTTTAGGTCCTCCACTCATCGCTCACGCAGTCGACTGACGTTGGATGAATCCATCAAGTAGGACGATTTTAATCTGGAAATAACCAGCAGTTGACCCTAGTAGCTTCAATCACCCTGGTAGCATCCTTGCTCCTAGTAGCGATGCCAGGAGCCCCTAGTAGCGTTCTTGTTCCTAGTAGCAAGGCCAGGAGCCCCTAGTAGCATCCTAGACATACAGGCATGGTTTCAATCCACCAGGCCTTGCTTTCGGCCTTGGCTTGAAACCAAACAACATCTTGTGCTCTGAGTTGCGCGACGTCATGCTGAATTAAACATGCCCAAACTCACACATGCTGCATCGACTTAATCACATTGCCTGTGGGTCAAAACCAGGATACCTTGGTTGACCTATATAGCTGGAAGGTTAACCTACATGGTGGACAAGGGCTGAAGCGGCTTCAGGCTTTGACCCATCCACATTAGGAACCGCGGTCTATGTTTGGTGCAGTGAACATTGGAGTGTAAAGGCCCATCGATCGGCGATTGCCTGGAGCTGCATCCATCGGCCTTGACCCGCGAGGCGACCTCTGTGGTCTCACAGCGGGCAACGTTCCATGAGACGTACGTGTTGAGGTGATTTAGAGGCTGGTCTGTTCTCGGCATTTGGTTGGTTTCACCCAAAGCAGCTTGGTTTCAGCCCACTGGTCTGAATTAGCCGCCTTCTGTGAGGTCTAATCACATGCCCCTCCCGTATGCCAAGGACCCCCCGCCCAACAAAAAAAAAAACAAAGGGAAAGAAGGCAAATCCAACGAAGCGTCTACGAAGGCACACCGATGGACACCGACCGGACACCGCTTGGGCGATGGACACCGGATCCTTCGAGGGGCCGGTGGATTGGGAGGACGGGCGGGTCGCCCCCCCCCCCACGTCAGTAGAGTAGTATAGAAAAAATGGACCCCTATATAATCCCCTATATATAATATATATATATATATAATACGGTATGTATATATATATATATAAGGTAGTCATTTTCGAGGTGGCCATCGAAGCTCTGAAAGCACTTCATTGATGGAATATGTTTCAGTGCAGGGGTGCACAAGGCTACAACCTCCCCTCTCAAGAATGGATGGAGAAAGCTCTCCCCATGTCCTGTAGAAAGAAGACATTCAGAAAACTTAGATTCAGATCCACCACCCTTGCAAACACGTGTCCTTGCAAAGGACCTCCTGGTAGCCCCTACAAGTCCAAAGACCCAGGAAAACCTGGTCCTGCACTGCCTGACTGATTAAGTGGTGCCTAAGGCTTTTGCCTCCAGTAAAGTCAGCTCTTTGACCTGTAGCAAGTCCATTTTCAAGGTAATTCTTTTCTTGTCTGTGGGGGTGTCGTTGGACCCCGCTTTTCATTGCACTGGTAAAAGGCCGTGTACGAAGAGACCACCAGTGTTGCCCAGCTGTGTTCAGTGCCAAAGCGGTCATGGGGGTCGTCACTGAACGATTCAAAACATGATGCCGGCGCTGCTCCCGGAATTCGTGGAGTCTAAAGGGTCCAACAAAATCATGCGACACTGTGGTGCAGGCGACGGGGACAGTGTCGAACCCAAGAAGAAAGGATATGTGCAACACTGTGAAGAAAGAAAGCAAGTCACCGTTTTGGGTAACCACAGGGTTCTGCCACATCTGCAGCAGGGCTTTGCCAACAATGAGGTGAACAGCTGTCGCTATACATGATCTTCAGGCGACAAATCCGCACCTAATGACTCGACAGGCAAGTCAACAATCCCGCCCGCGTGAATAGTACTATGCTGCTCCTGAGCTATCAATCATTGCAAAAGTACAGCACCCTCAAAAAAGTTCAATCAAAACAAGTGATCTCGAACCAAAACATCACTACCCAACACCCAAAGAGGAAATTCCATTCATTAAGATTTTCATGTTGCAGTTGCAGCAGTTTTCTAGGGAGAGCAAGAACACCACGAGTGGGAAAAGTCCGCTAAGTCATCTGCAGCACGGGCGGTTTGTCACAAACTCCGTCTCTGACTCTGACATCACCCGGGCCTCTGAACTGCACCGGTCAAGCGAACATAGATTTAAATAGAGAACAATCAACGAATCCTTGGAGTCTCCATAGCAGGGGAGCAAACCCTCACAACATATCAAAACCCTTTCCATTTGAGGGCCCAAAGTCTTAGGGAAGAAGACTTTGTGTCTGTGGCTTCTGACTGGCATGTCGGTCCACCGATTAATCTCTGAAGTCTATGTATACAGTTGAACTCTCAATTGGGTGTAGATCCGTGCAAATTCAACCAGCCATGTCACAAACAAAAACTCATGTTTGGAGGATTTTAGCGGGATGGGATTGGTGATTATTAACTTTCCAGAAGCACAAGTTCATGATGCCGCTTCTGCCAGGGCTGCCTGGGTGCCAGCGGTACGTCGCTGGCACCCAGGCAGCCCCCCCTCCCCAGGTCCATCTCCCCTTTTGCGAGGTATCTGTCGTACACATCTGTCGTAGACCACTGATCTGAGGAACAAATATGGTTCAAGAAGAACCACTCCCTGGAACTCACATGGTTACGTGGATGGCACCCCCTGCTTGCAAAAGAACAAATGGTCTTCCTTACAGGGCCATGTTCCACTTCCATTGAGTTCCAGGGAGTCTACGGATCTGTTTATGTGTGTGAGCGCACCATCGGGTTTGATGACGTCAATTGTCAAGCATATCATTGTTCCTATTGTGTGAACGTCAAAACCTTACGGAATCCAGGATGACGTCGCCCGTGAGCAGCTCATGCGATCATTGACCTGCGGGATTGGGCTGATTAGCGTGAAATCACAGGTGGAAGAGAGTGTGGAGCCTTCAGGTCCTTCAGTGTACCCCTTGTATGCACCTTTGACCTGAACAGACAATGCCCACAATTCCAACATGCTTCCCTCCATAAACATGTGGTGGGCGATCAACGCTGGCTTTGATGGGCTTGCAATTGGCGAAATGAACATGATTTCTTCTCAGTGGCCTGGGGAACCTGAAGAAAAAGATAGAAAACGCCTTGCCGGATTCTACTTGGACGACCCGTGCCACACATTCGGAACCCATCAAATTGATCAAACCACATCTGTTAGGAGGGTCCCAACCAACGCCAGCACCCGACACACAGGTCCTCACCCGGCCCGATCGCCTCACAGGCCGAAGCGGCGCCGCTGGGCGTCCAGGAGTTCACTGGCTTTCCGCATCTCCTGCCGAGGGTTCCACGCGCGGGAACCCACGCGCGCGGGAACCCGCGGAACGTGCGGGTTTCCGCGGGGTTTTAGTGGATCTTTGGGTGAGAAGTGCAGGTCGACCCCCCCCAGAAGAGAGTTAGAACATATGGGACAGCCGTTTCGATCTATTTAAGGACCACGTGACTCGACCCGTTTCGATCCGAGGCCTTCGAGGCGGGCGAGGAGAAGTCGAGACGCCCATCTTCGGTCCGCCCAAACAGATTCTTCCGAAGCTCACAGGTTGCAAGTCCGGAGAATGCATTAAGAAACTCGAGGCTTCACACATTTCGGAAAACAAGCGACATTCCAGGTATACCAATATGTACTTATTCATGCCCATCCATCTCTATATATACCCTAGAAGTCCAAAGACTATATTTGGACCAAGTGAAGTAAAGGAAAATCCTTTTCAGGTCATATATTTGTTGCCGATTCTTTTATAGTCTTTGACTCCCAGGGTATATATATATATATTGTATATATATATATATAGACCCGTTCAGGGGTGCCAAGGGCTTGGTGGCTACCGGGGTGTCTAAAACAACCACCCCACAATTATCCAGGGTCCAAGTAAAACACCCTTGGGCCGTTCAAGGGGTCTCCTGGTGTTTTTTTCCACCAAAACCATGGTGAACCGGTCCTCGGAGGTGTCCTCCGCGCCCAGGGACTCCGCGATGGAGTCCACGCAGCGGCGCAGATCGTCCCAAAAGCCTCGGGGACGGGTCGGTGGGTCGGTGGATGGGTGGGGTGCGTCGGTCAGGAAGGATACCTATGCCATGAAAGCTCATCACGTGGGTCCTGAACTGAACTTTTAAATCGTTGCATCCGGGCTGTGAGCGAAGCGCAGGGCCTGCGGCAACTGCTGCAGAACAAGCCCCCCTGGTGCAAGATTGTGGACTCTGTCATAAAGCTCGACTTAGAGCTCCTCCTGGCAACTCCTCGTCGTCCTTGTGGGGTCGGAGGCCTCCCTATTCTGAAGGAATTGAAATTGATAAGATATGATAAGACTGCTTTTGTTTTCATGGCTGGCGATTTGTCTCTGACACCAAGCTCCCATAGACTCCATAGCTTGCGTCGAACATATGTGGATTATAGTACAGTTGCTTTGCTTGACTGTGTTCAAGAATAAGCAATAACAACATACTTAAGACTACTTAAGCATACTTAACCAATGTCATGTGGGGCCTACTTTAGTTTGGGAGCACCATGCTCACCTTTTGTTGCACCCGAGTTCTGCAGTACCTGTATATGCATGCAATGGAAAGCTCGCTTCATAGCAGCCGATCCCAAACACAAACCCATGATCACTTATCATCACAACAAGGATAGGGAGTAAAACGCATTGAGGCTACACCGTCGTTCAAATTGCATTCCATGAAACTGAAGGCCAACTTCATGTCCTCGCCGATGTGACGGCTCAGGGTCGGAGACGAATTCATGTATGCACCACTTTGCATGAACAAAAACAGCTAGTGGGATTTCAAATGGTGAACAACTCAATTCAAGCATTGGTCTGGGGAGCCGCTACAGCAGTTTTTTGGCATATTGCGTATGTAGTCTATATACTGTATATCATATTGTCATAGCATATTAGTATCTATCCGGCGTGTCTCCACCCCTAGGATTTCCACGGGTTTTCGGATTTTTCGGGGTCGCTTCGCACGTTGGTTAAACAAATTGTCTGGGCGTACGTCAATGGATCTCTCTACGCGTCATGGTCAGCGGAAACAATCACATTTGTGATAACATCTTGAAAAGGATCAAAGGCCGACCTGGTCTGAGTGGTCTAGTAAGCATCAACGTGTTGCACCGTGCCAAAACACCCACCCGCATGGCTTAGGGCCATATCTCTGAGTATGTGTTCTCTTCCACTGTAGCCCCACGGTTTATTTATGACGAAGCTGGCGGACCTCCGCACGTACGAAAGCTAGTGGACCTCTCCTCGATGGGCTGCACGCAGCAGGGGAAGCGCTTCCCCATCTCAACTTTCAATGCTTCCAGATCTGAGCCCTGCCGGTGTCGACAGTCAAGAAATAAAAACACCAGTTGAGGCCAGGGCGGCTAGGGCGGTTCAATTGGATGAACACAGGACCAACACGATGAAGCTGACAACCTTTTCATATGTGATCGATCGAGAAGCACCAAAGAACTAAAGAACCGCAACACGATCACCACTACAACCGCGGCAAACACGACGCGGTGTTTGTTATTCCTGCTTCGTTGGGTGGTCCAAACTTCTAAGCAAAAGGGGACTCCGAACCAAACGCCGCACGAAAAAAACCTTCACACATCTGGAACCTCTTGTTTCTCTCACCCCTCGTCCAATAAAAAACAAATTGACCATCCTTGACAAGGATGGCCTCTACCCTGCACAGCGGTGGTTTAAACCTTCAACACCTGAACCTTTTGGGGTTCCATGATTTGAAGGGGACTTCTTCAACTTCGTGGTGCGAAAATGGCCACACTGTGGTACGAACGTGCGTGGCCTTGTATTCAAGGAAGTACTTCACCACAATGCCCATGCCTGGGTCAAACACCAAGCACCACAAAAGCACTGGTCTCACAGCAGGGAGGGCAACCTTGATTCACAGAATCTGGAACACATGTGTGGAGAAATGGTAGCATTGGATGACAAACCAGCTACATCCACCGTTGCGACCGTTGAATCATGTGAAGTGGCACCGCGTCAACATGGAACTTGAGACTGCACTTCTTACACGGTGTCTGTAGACCAAAACGGGACGCCAAAGAACTGCCACAACCCAATGACGGAAGCACCCCCCCAGTACATCAGGAATGTCATCTCAGGATTGATAAGACTCCCTCAGCATCCCTTAGCTTAGTTAACCCGAGACCAAACAGCCTTGAACATCTACCAAAAGAGAAAGCATCATTGGCCTTGAATTTTCCCCAGCTGATCCGAGCCCCACAACCAGGTCAATTTTACTAGTACTGGTACCAATAGTAGTAGTTGTTGTTGTCGTTGTAGTAGTAGTAGTACTACTACTGCTACTACTACTACTCCTACTCCTACTCCTACTCCTACTACTACTACTACTACTACTACTACTACTCCTACTCCTACTCCTACTCCTACTCCTACTCCTACTCCTACTCCTACTCCTACTCCTACTACCACCACCACCACGACGACGACTACTACTACTACTAACACTAACACTAACACTACTACCTGCTCTTTCTATTAAGTATACTTATTAATATTCCAGAAACATGTCTAGGTTTCAGGGAAAATTAACAGCAACTAGAGAAATCATTTTAACCCTCACCCCCCTCAACAATCTGCACTACCGCCTATGAATACCACCACCACCACTACTACTGCTACTACTCCTGCTGCTGCTACTACTACCACCACTACCACCACCACCACCACAACGACGACGACTACTACTACTACTACGACGACTACCACTACCACTACCACCCCCACCACCACCGCCGCCACCGCCACCTCCACGACGGCGACGACGACGACTACTACTATTACTGCTATATTATACTATACCAGACTACTACCACTACTACTGCTGCTGCTACTACTCCTACTCCTCCTACTACTACTACTACTACAACTCCTACTGCTACTGCTACTACTACTGCTACTGCTACTGCTAATCCTACTCCTACTCCTACTCCTACCCTTACTCCTACTCGTACTCCCTTCTTAACACATTATTCAGGGGGAGTGGACCTCATGCACGGCACCTCAGACCTTCTTGACCTTCCACGTGGAGGGCGTTCATTCATTGGGGGGTTACATCGGGTCCATCTTCACTTCCCATCCCTACCAATGGGCTCAGGTGACCGTTGGATCTCCGGACCCCTGGAGCCGTGCGACATGCGCGTGGCAGCATGAAGGCCGGGAACTCTGCCGGCATGGTCGGCCAGGAGTCCTGGCATCGACGCCTTCGAGTCGGCCATCGAGTTGGAACGCCCTTCGGCGGTTTCCAAGATCAACTCCTAAGCACCTCCAAAGCCCCAAACTCCATGGTCACATAGACATCGTCAGGAGTCAGGAGAAACAAAACAAATGAGAAGCATCTTCCAAGATACACGCACCAGTGCAGTTCATGGGAAATTGTTGATCCAGGTCAGAGTCTGCTCAAATTTGCAGGTCTTGAAGCCATGCATTCATGGGGCACGGCTCATAGTCATAGTCCATTTCAATCAAAGGGCGTGCGTGTCAGTGCTACTATCTAAGGCCAGGCCTTTGGGTTGCTACAGCACGGAGTGTTCCATCTTCAGGTGGAAAAAAACACTGTATCTAGTGCACTCCGATGAATCTGTGCTGCCCATGGCACCATGGTAATCTGTCAATCTGTGCTGCCCTAGACCGGTCGGCTCCACAGTCCTTCACTGGAGAGGTGCACATAAAGCCCTTGGGTAGAATCCTCACCTGCTTCGTGCAGGTCGCACGCGCGTAGAAGTGTGCAGCTCAGATATCGGCACATTGACTTGGTTGCTTTTTGTTGCCGTCTAAATGCAACTGAAAGGACTTGCATATCATATTATAGCCATTGTTCTTCTTCTTATAGGTGTCTTCTTGAAACATGGAGCGTCGATATCAGGACTGGCTCTCAAAAAATAACAAGAAAGAGATGGGGCGTGAGGGCCCTCACACCATGTCCCGATGGCCTCTGTATAAAAATGTGCTAAGATTGTGCTAAACTATTCCGACTTGATCGAGAAGAAAACTCCTGGCAAGAATCTGAACAACCATGTGGGTGTGGCCCAAAATTTGCAGTACCCAAGCCGACATATACAATGGACAATCTGTGGCTGAATCTGCGAAGGCAACAAACAACTCTCCTCATCTCTACGCTACACCGGGACAAACCTGCTCTGGACTTCCTGTGCCCCTGCACCCTCAATGACTGCAGTTCTGCTCCAAGTTGCATTCGAAAGATCTCCCAGCAAGACATGTGCCAAGGCCCCCTCCACAACCTGTCTCAGGGTGCCTTGGCGGATTCGCCTTTTTCGATGCAAAAGCAACAGCCAGGCTCAACATTACAGCAACATATAAGCCCTAGGGATCCAAGTACCTTCTCAGAAGGCACCTGGACCCTCCAAATCCACCCCAAGCACCTTCTGAGAAGGCACTTGGATCCCTAGGGAAGGATACTTGTGTGTCATGATGAACACCTTGCAACAGCCAGACTTGCAACAGCCATACTAGCAGTCCAGGCTTCATGCAGCTGGACACACACTGTGACGCTGCGCCCATTTCCTACCATACTTAGACATAAAAAACACCCCTTGGAACCCCATCCTCACCAATACTCTCTCTCATCCCCGGCTCTCATTCCCTCATCCGCTGGATTACACCCAAACCGCCGGACAGGGCACGCTTCAGGGCGCGGACCAACGTATGGAAGGCGGCCAAGTCAAAGTCCACGTCGCTGTCCCACATCACAGGCCTTGCGGGCTGGGATGGTTTAACGTTGGGCCAGGAGGGATGGCAAACATATATCATATGTGTATATACATACAATATATACAATATATTTATATAAACATATAATGTAGTGAAATTATGGGAAACATCTCTTTGGAAACGTGTACGGTGAATTGATGATGAATTGAAATACGAGACATGAGACCTGACCTTCCGTGACCTTTTCCCTTCCTGCACCTGTTAGGTGCCTCCATACCCCAAAATAGAAGTGTAGACATACATAACTTGAAGTTCCTCCAAATCATATGGAATATAGAATATAGAAGTTCCTCCAAAACATTGAAGGGATCTTCCCATGTCATGGAATGGAAAAACGATGGGACCTGGACCTTGCGGCTCACGGCATACCTGACCTGGCTTTCTTGCGACCCGGTTCTTCTTATATAATCCCTGGGATCGTGAAATCCTTGAGCTGGTTGGATCACCAACTTGGCACCAGTCAGCCGAATCGCAGGGTCTTTTTGTTACACAAATCATTGACCAGATCGCATTCACCTGACCTGAGGTGGTGCACATCATACCTCCAACTGCAAGCGAGTCGAGGATCAATATGGAAAATCCTTTGGGAGGCCAAAACCCTACGGGATTTTGAAAACACACCCAGCTTTGAAAGAAACACGCGAATATGACTATCATTCTCTGATTTACACGCGACGCATCTTCTCCCCCACCCCTGCTTTGAAAAACATAGTGGACATGGCTGACATGGCTATTGTTTCAGTTGCAAACTGGGGGGCAAAACAGAGCTGCAAGTGCCCGTCCTCACCGCCCGTCCTCACCACCCAAGCCCGTGCTCTTCCCGGCCTGAGCCTCATGGGGACCAAAGACATCACGCGGCACAGCAAAAGCTTCCCGCAAATGCCTGGATCTTTAGAGGAGAGGAGGCCATCGCTAGTAGTAACAAGGCACCTTACTAGTAGCAAGGACGCAAGGAAGGAGCTCCTGAGCTCCTGGCATTACTACTAGTAGCAAGAAGCTATTATATAGGTTGGAGGCCTATTAGGTTGGAGGCCATCGCTACTACTAGGGTGGAGGAGAGGATTGACCAGGGATGAGCAAAAACCAACACTCCCACTCTCTCCCTCTCTCTGTATATGTGTCTCTCTCTCTCTCTCTCCCTCCCCGTGTCTCTCTCAAGGATGTCCAAAATGTCAATCAATGATCCTCCTCTACCAAGGCTGTTCGACCAGTTCCTCTGTAGATTCTAGGCGCTGTCCTTGCAATACAAGTCATGAGAACTCTCTATCTCTCTGTCTCTCTCTCTCTCTCTCTCTCGCTCTCGCTTTCGCATATCATGCTCGCGGCAACCGGAGCAAAAAAGGGCACACTCACCGGCAAAGGCCACAAATCCCAACCGATCTCAGATTCAGCCGCCCGACGCCAATCATTGCAGCGCACCAATCTCAACTCAAAACACCTCTGAAATGACCAGTGACTCAACGCACGTCCCCCCAACTCCGCTCAAAAGGTCGGCTCTCGGCACATGCAGCACCTCCCGACACTAAGCATGGACCGTCTGCAATCTGACAACTGCAGGTCTCACCTGGAATCGGATCGGGCCAATGGACCTGGAAAGGGGGAGAAGAATGAATCCCAAACCGCCAGGACCGTCCTTTCCGCCAGTGCCCGCAGCTCGCTCGCCCGCAGAGCTCGCCCGCAGCTCGCGCGGCTCGTGCCGAGCGACGGTCCCTCTCGGGCTGCGAGAGGTTGGCCGCGATGGGGTACCTGGTCAAGGAGGGTCCAGGAGAGCTACGAAAGGCAAACAGAAAGCCACGTACCCCAAAATCACCTGTGCTTGTCTGATTCTGTGGAGTCCATCGAAGACATTCTCTAGCACACCTGTGTGCAATTGCATTCAGTGGAGGTGTCAAAAGGAATTTGTCTGAGACAGCATGAGATTTGAACACTCACCGCCACGAAATCTAACAACCAATCATTGGTCACCAGCTCCATGGTCCACGCTCCGCCGCCGGCGCACTTCACATCCTCGGGAAAGGGCTTCTCGGGCTGCGCGGCCTGGAGATGCCAACTGCCGGTGTCCAGGGCCCCCAGCTATGCAGTATAGTGGTCACCAAACAAATACAGTATAGTGGCACGGTGTCCACTACATTTTTAGGTGTGGATGTGCTTTTCTATCTATTGTGGGGCCTGTATATTATATATAGTTCTAACATGTTGTTCATCTTTGTTCGAATCTTGCAGGAGTGTCTTATCACTGGGGGGGGGTCGGGGCAAATTACAAGTGAATGCAAGTGGCACTAAAGCATCGTGTGATGAACAATCTGTGCAATGTCCATGGGTTCCACGTAGCTTCCTTGGAGCGTGGTGCATGGGAGGGTAATCATGTAACCATCCGACCAATACATCTCAATACCACATACCATGGAATCAGGCTTGGTGAGAGAAATGCATTAAAGACTTTAGCGGTTTGAGCGAAAATGGAGTTCAGAAATATAGGTTTCAAATCAACACACCCTCGCCAACATCACAAGACAGCTGGTCAAAACGCAAGTGAAATGAACTAAGGATAACAAATGCTGCCTTCGAAGGCCCCTGCGCTCAACAGATTGGAGGACATGTGAGGAAAGCATGGTGAGGAAACCGAGCAAAACATGATCTTTCATGGACTCCCCACAGGCCAAACCCTTTTGTGTTGGATTTTCGCTGCTCGTGGGCTGGATCACTCTGACAATTCAACATGCAGTTCCTGCCTCGAATGGCTCGCCATTCAAGAGACCCAGCCTTAGTCAAACATCGGAGTCGCGCGAGGCATATGTCGTAAATCCCTCAATATCCATGTAGACTTCAGGTGCTGGCTCTGCCCCATTGAGAACACTGAAACAAACTCCCCGTGACGATTCTAAGCAAATGCTGACATTCACCTAAACAATACTATATACCTGAAAAGCACACAACGCGATTTTGGGGTTGCTTCAAGACTTCAAGCGTTCTGGGTTGCACAACAAACGCATCTTTTTGACGCTTGGAAGTGCTTTTGTAAACACTCAATCATCAGTAATGAGTCCGAAATGCCTAGGATTGCATCATTTGTGGCTGTGGACTCCACATCTGGGGGAATGCAATTCATTGGGCATCCGCCCTTCAGAAATGGCCTGCGCAACCCAAATCCAGGAAGTACTACCCAAACAGGTACAGTATTCATCACCTTTACACAGCACGAAAAAGATTCCTTCGGACCCCTCCGTCTCATCTTTCTGGCAGATTCTGATTCCGAGGTCTGGAATCCCCATCCCAGCTCCCATGGGACAGTGGGTTTTGCGATTCTGCCATGGACAGTGAGCTCACGCTTCTACAACCCTGCAAGAAGCCACAATATAAAAGAGATGGCGGTCCAACCAAACCAATCTGAAACCGCTGTAGCTGCTTCAAGAATTAAGGGATTGTCATGATTACCAGAACTTTGCCCATTAGTAACTAGAACTCACAGCAACATGACATGCTAGCCCCTTGAAGGGTCACTCTCCACTGCCTTTTTTCACATCCCGTGGCTCGAAGCTCGAGCAGTGCTTTGGCCAGATGCTCATTGATCTGGCGCGGAACCCCAGCCAGCTAGATCCAGGTCACTTCACCTGCTGGATCGCTGGATTGCGAAATTCTCACAGCTCGACGAGCTGCACCCTTCGCCTGCCGAATATAATGGGAGAAGGTCCCCCAGTTGAACTCAACAGGAAACAATAGGAAGAGGGTTAATAGAAGAGTTTGAGGTAGTCAAACCTTACTACCATACCTCAGCCTCTAAGCAGCCCACCTGCTCTGCACTGAAGCCCATGCGCTTGAACCGGTGATATTCGCGACTGTAAATGTTGTTGGCATCCATTTTAAGTCCCTTGCTTGCCTTACGTTTTGGGCAGGCCTTGGCCTTGGCACGGTTTCTCTTGGCAGGTTTGCTGTTCTTGGTCTTTGCTTTGTTTTTAGCTGCTGCTTTTGCCTTGCTCTTTGCTTTGGCTTTGGCCTTCGCTCCTGCCTTTCGTTTGGGCGCAGCTACATGTGGTCTTTGGCGCGACTTTGGTTCTGCCCTTGGTTTGCTTTTGGGTTTTGCCTTTGCACTGGGTCGCCTTCCTTTGCCTCGCGTCGCCAACCTTAATCCAGCAGCCACTAAAACAATCAACAGTGATTGGTTACAAGAAAGGAGAATTTAAGTTGAGGTGCGTTTCACTCGATCCCCCGAGTGGATCCACAGGGTCAAGGTGAATCACAGGCGTAGGACTGGCTGGATCATCCTCGATATCTATTGGCCCACACAAAGGCACGCCTTCCTGGAGAATCACATGGTCACATGGTTCGAAAGTTGAGGACCACCTAATCAGATAGTCTATTCAAGTCAGGTCTATTATCTTCAATGTATTGCGCAACCATATTAATGAGGATCCAACATTATGTACATCCAGTGAACGGGCACATGCTTACAGTCCTTTCGAGCACTAGGTTGAGGCACGGTCTCCGCAGCCGGTGAGGCTGACGAGGTATTCAAAGAAGATCCATCTTCCTGACCACAGGAATAAGAAAACACAAACTTGATTTTGCTAAGTTGTTCTGAAAAGCACGGTGAGTGTATAATTAGGCAGGAGAAGATAAACATCTCTCAAGGGTTCTTTGAACACGACATGCCTGTGGATGCTGCATACCAAAATAAAGGGAATCAGTGCGACCACAAACCTGTCCTTCGGTGCAGTGTTCTTTAGCATTGGAAGCGAGTCTTCCTGGCTGGTCCCCTTCTGTTCCTGGAACAAATCTGCTTTTGGAAGTGCGGTTTGTTTGGTCAGATTCACTGGTCAAAATTGGTCAGCGCAAGTCCTGACGCCCAGCATGGTCTTCAGCGCGTTCAGTGGCCTCCAGCACATTCCCTTGATGGTCCTGCGCGCTCAGGTCAAGACATGGCGTTTCATCGGCAGTTTCATGTGGAGGCTCCACCTCGCGCTCGGTAGGCTGGGGGGTGGCATCGCCGAAAAGCTCACTTTCCTGCAGACACTGGCGAGTCAGTTTTAGCTCGCACGGCAGTACTCAATGATAGTCCTCAGCAAGAAGACCATAACCATCACAGGTAAACTCAGCAAAGTGAGCAGTCTCCTGTGGGAACATTGAGCATGGCATCAAACAACTCCAAAAAAACATCAATAATGAAATTTGTGGGACCAGGAGGAAACAATCCTGCATCTTGTCATTGCTCTCGTCATCCAAAATGCCCAAGTCCTGGAGCAAAGAAGAAGGGAATAAGTCAGTGCGACTACAGTCACTTGACAAGACTTGGACAAAACTGAATACAGGACGTTGAGGGTTTTTCATGTAAAAGACCATAAGTGGTGTATGTTCAGCAAGTGGCGTCTCCTTCTTCGCAGGTTCATCCTCATAGGGGATATGCCGGCCATTATCAATGATATCAAGAGCTCTAGTTTGGACACGAAGTGAATGGAGTTCCTGCAAGAGAGTTCTCTTGATGTTGGCATGGTTTCACAGCGACGCTATCAGTTTTTGATCTTCATCAACTCTAGTCTCTAGTGTGAAAATGATGAGGAGAAACAGGCCTCGAGGGTGAGAACCGCACCGGGTGCCACGTGAACTTCGTCCCCATTGTGCCACACATAGACATCCGCATTGTTGTCGCTGGTTGGAGGATGGAAAGCAATGGGCTCTTCAATCTGTCCTTCCTCATCCTCCTTGTCCCAAAACCCCAGCTCCTGCCAAACAAAATGGTTAAACGTTCAGTTCAATATATCTTGTGGAGTTTTACACGCCAAGCCCATTGTTCTTTATGTTCTTTTAGGGCTACAAAGGGTGTGGAGGCAGCAGCAGGAACATAGAAAAGCAAAGCGCAGCTCGTGAACGAAGGCTGTAATGGCCCGGCGGAGCAGCAACTTTTTTGGCGCACACCTTTCTTGGGACAACAGCAACTTCTGATTTTCCATGTAGGGGCAAGTCCAGAATTGTAAAGGCCAGCAGCTGAGCGGATTCTGGCAAAGTCTGCAACCACTTGGCAGCATGATGGCAAGCTTTCAATCCCTCAGAACAAGTATCTGTGGTTGGCTTATTGCTACTCTCATACTCATACCTCCTTTTGATGTTCTCAAGCTGTCCACAAAACCAACAAGGTTAAAGGAACATTTGTGTTGTGGCAATGGGTACTGGCCTGCGTTCCACACTCAGCTGAAAACTCCTAGCCCCCCCCTCAAACCCCTCCCGGTTGCCCTACACAAACAAAACCATTAGCGCTCATCTTTTTGAGAAACGACCACCACTTCGAGAACACATGTGTGTGCAATATTAACATGGAATTGTGAACCCAGTCCAGTGTGGTATCACTCTTGTGATCATCGATGTCGTTCTTGCGCTCAATGGAGTCGCCACACACCTGCCAAAGCAATTAAGATAATACCAGTTAGTATTATCATGTCCTGTCAAAGTGAATTCCAGAGACCACCAAGCACAGTAAACATAAACCCCCACACTATAGTTAGACAGATAAATAAACACAAAGCCTCAAACTCTACATGGAGTCTGATTTGGATGTTGTGGCCATTTGCTGCAGGCCTTGCTGTACTGTTTGCACACCCTATCATCCACCTGAAGGCGTGGAGCTGATTCGATTGGGAAGTCATGGGGCTGGAAAGAAATGGGAAGAATAATTCAAGTACTTGAAATGCACCGCACCTCGTTTGTAGAAAGGTTGCGAACCATTGCCAGGCTCTCTGCAATTTCAGCACGCTGTTGAGCTTCCAGAAACATGTCGACAGTGACACCTGTTTCTTCCTCAACACTGCTAGACGACGAGCTCTGAACCTCAACCCCACCACCATCTTCATGTTTCTTTCCCTTCTGACCTTTGCCTGATTTTTTCTCATCCGTCTTGCTTTTCTTAACCTTTTTGGAGTCTTCTTTCTTCTTCTTCTTCTGTTTCTTGTCTTTCTTGCTCGAAGGAGCAGCCTCGGCCTCGTCATCAGGTTCTTCATCATCTCTACGGTTGCCCTTGCATGACCCTAAGATATCAGAGTCATCTTCCTTCTTGGTCTTCTTTGGAACCTGCTTCGCAGCTGGACGTTTCTGGGCTGGGGCAGTCTCTCCAGGGTCGTCTTGCCCCTCTGAGTTGTCAGCGCCAGAACTCCCCGATCCAGAAATATCACAGCGCTGGAGAAGTCCTAGAAGATTGGAGAGACATGAGACATGGATTCAGTAGCCAGGATGGAGAATAGTTTGGACACTGAAAAAAATCCTAGTCTGAGCGTGTTGAAATGAATCAACATTGGGCAACTCAGGCATCAAACCAAAAGAAGGGGTCCTGAAGAAGGGGCAGCTGTAGCTTTTGCTTTCGCAACCGGTGGGATGGTATTCACTCGAGGTGCAGAAGTTGGTCTTGACCCATCCACAAGAGTCTGGTAGTCTTCTATACTGAAGGCAGGCTTGGAAATCACATTGCCTGCCCCTCCAGGCCACGACATGGCTCAGTGCAGCTCTCAGAGTTATCCCTCAAAAACAGGCCTGCGGGAGACTGTCATGTTTAGTAGAGCGCAGTTGTGGAGGGTAGTGGAACAGCATGGAGACTGAAGGAGATTCGTAAGTCAGAGTGATCGTGGCCCACAGTGTTTCAGCTACTCAACAGTTTAGGCATAGGCAGCAGGCTGAGGTCTTTTTTTCGTTTGCTCAACTCAACCTCACAGCAGGGGTGCACAAGGTTAAGTGTCCAGACCTCTCCGTGTTGCCATTGCAACGGAGACCCCTCAAAAAGGCTG